TGTTGAACGCATCATTTTTTCCATTTAGTTGAACGGTTGGATTATTTTGATCTTTGACTTGATGTTGATGTGGTAAATCCATGCCACTAGACATCATTGTTTTAAAAGCCGGATCGGACCGGCCGGTCCAACCGGTTGAACCGGGAACTAGTCAAGTGCCCGGTTCGAGTCAACCCCAAAAGCGTTATAATACACTGAACTGCTTTAAACCGTTTGAAAACCGGATAATTTCAGTGAACCGTCGATCCAACCAAACCGGCGGATAAACCGGTCCAAATCTTAAAAATCCCTAATAAGCGACACAACACTTTCTCATCTTCTTCTCTTCCGGTCTTTCTCAGTTTCTTACGAAAATTTCTCAGCAAACACTCTGTTCTTTGCGAAAATTTATCAGCTTCATCTCTTTCTCTTTTGTCTGTTCTCTGCGAAAATTCTCACCTTCTTCTCTGTTCTCTACGAAAATTTCTCTCTGAAATCTCACCCAAATCGCATCTGAACTCTCTGAAATCTCACCCAAATCACATCTGAACTCGCTGGTAAACGTTATTGATCTGGGGTCCATGGAGAAATGCCTGACCACTGATTCCGGCATTTGATAGCGTGCCTCCGACGGTGAGATATAGGTAATCTGTCCAAGACTTTGGTGAGAACCCATGTTTAAGAGTCTCATGCAGAATATTAATGCACAACTCACCACCGGAAACATCCACATACAGCAGTTCAAGAGGGTGAACTTCCATAAGTGGTTCTTGGAGTGATTCCATGTTGATAACTACACCTCCTTGAGTTTGTGACTGCCCATGGCCTCTAGCAGCCACTGTGAGATCAGAAGCATAACCCATATGATAGATATGCTTTATTGTTGAGGAAATATCAGAAACTGATTTAGGATATAGAATTGCTGATGGTTGGAAATGGTGAGTATTGCCAAAGTCTTGAGCTGCATGATGCATATTTTGAAAACTAAGGTAACCGTCCAGAGGCAGTTGTTTTAATGAGAAAGGGATGTTGGAGGAAGAAGAATGAGTTTGAATTGTGGTGGTAGCTAAAGAGAGATCAAAAGAAAGGTTCGTTGTGTTAGGAATAGAGCTCAAGAAGAAGATCATAAAAATCATGAGAGATTCGGTGTTGTATTGTTTGAGAAAGCCAGAAAGTGGTGACATGGTGAGAGAGAGAGAGAGAGAGAGAGAGAGAGAGAGAGAGAGAGAACTTTCTTTGTGTTGTTCTTGGTTGGGAAAAGTAAAAGAAGAGGTACGGAGGAACCTTGGAAATGAAAGGCAGAGAAGAGAATTTCAAGGGAGGATTTTGGGCGGCATAGTCAAAGTGTCTGCCATATGTTCACTGGTTAAATCCGTATATTAGACTGTATAATATTATAATCTTTTGGGTTCAAGATTTTCTTTTGGCCCACCTTTTTGGTTTCGAACGTTAAGCAGATAAAGGTCAGGAGAAAGTTCTTCCGAAGATTTTACGTATCTTTGGTACCTTCTCCCACACTATTTTGATTTAAGAATCCAAACTCCAAAGATCTTCTTGCATTTACTTTCGTAAGTCCGGTTTCAGTACTGAGTCTGAACGCTCTACCAAGCTCTATAAAAGTATAAATCCTTTAATTATTAGCAGTTAAGCATTTATTTTGAAGTTGAAGCTGAATTCCATTTTCCCAATAATTGTTGTGTTGTCATATATTGTGGAATAAGAAAATGGATTTGAAACTTCCAACTGAACAATAATTAAACTGTTATTGTCTTATTAAAAAATAGAAATCTAAATTTTTTTTTTTTAAAAAAAATATGTTGACATCATTATGATATGTGATGACGTCACCTGTCCAACCAACAGTCTAACCGATTGGACCGGTTAAACAGTGACCCAGCCATCAGAGCAGGTTGCTCTTCGGTCCGATTTTTAAAACAATGCTAGACATAAGAATTTAAAAACTCATTATGTAATTTTGTAAGTTACAGTTTGATGTTTAGATGGTAATTTCATGAATAATTTTAATTAAACTAGTTTGTTTTAATTACTTGAATATGTTAAATTAAATGAACGGAGAAAAATAAAAAAGAAACTATGTTAAGCAACAAATTAAGTTTCATAAAATACCCTCACATGAGTAGCACAATTGGTTCTTGATTCGCTTCTAATGATGAAATTAATTTCGTTTAAATAAAAAAAATGAATACATTACTGCACAAAAGAGATGCAACATATGACTGACATATGAGCCTTTATTCATACATAGAATAATTGCTGAAAACACCCAACCACCTACCTTGTTACTTCACTAATGTTCTAAGTTGAATTGCTCACATCCTTCAACTCATTCAAGTTAAGAGGAATCTACCNAGTAGCACAATTGGTTCTTGATTCGCTTCTAATGATGAAATTAATTTCGTTTAAATAAAAAAAATGAATACATTACTGCACAAAAGAGATGCAATATATGACTGACATATGAGCCTTTATTCATACATAGAATAATTGCTGAAAACACCCAACCACCTACCTTGTTACTTCACTAATGTTCTAAGTTGAATTGCTCACATCCTTCAACTCATTCAAGTTAAGAGGAATCTACCAAATCTTTATGAGCATTCTAGCTGCCACCAGTCCAGTAGCCAAGGCAGCTCCAAATAAACCGTGTAATCGTACACAGTAATACTTTGCCATGAAGATCTTCTCCTTGTCCTGCAAAAATGACTTCTTATAAGCAAGAGGAAAATGAAAGTCTTCGAAAATACAGAGCAAGGGATGAGGTATTTATCAATTCGAGCTGAATATTGGTGCCTTTAATGAGAGGTAGGTGTATATTTGTAAAAATGATTTGTAATCCATAGAGGATGACTTAAAAACTGGTTTTGAAACCTTAAGCTTCAACTTTCAAGCATCATTGTGCAAGTTTACTTCTCACCTTGTGGTTCTCTTGCACATAGTTGACTACTAATTTCCCCATAGGTAAGGTCATGGCACAGAGAAACTGGAAAACTCTATATCAGATTCAGAACCATAAAAAGACATACAATTTAAAGCACTTGGCACATATTTCACCAATTCAAACGTTGACTTACAATGCAAGTCCAAGGAAGAGCTCTACTTAGACCAAGAGCAAAGGTAAGGGAGTAGAGTGTCTGGACTGCCACTTTCACTACTACTGAGCCTCTTTCAGTGCCCAGCCTGACCTGCATGCAAATAGGACAAATCAAATTAACAGCACTGATATTTTTCTTCTGTTAAATTTCAAAAACATTTAAACAGCTCAGTGAACATACCAAAGGGGACATTTTTCCAACGGCCCTATCTCCTTCAACCTGAGCTACAATATTCATGTTATTTGATGTTAGTAATTAAAGGAGTCTAAAGTAGGGAAGTGAAACTGGGAAAACCAAAAGAATCTGAACTACCTGATGAAAGTGACTACAAAAAAGAATCAGGGTGGTTGTCAGGCCAACAAGGAGTGACACTGAAAGAATGGCGCCAGTGAAGGGAACATTGTGAATCTCACTGTCAAAACCGCTTGGATTAATATCGTAGATGAGCAAATTAAATCCATGATTATAGTACTATTATCAATATACTATGAGACCTTGTGCTCCCCAGCAATAAGTAAAAAGCAGTAGTTGCAAATGGGCCAAAGGCAGCAAAGCATAAAGGCTCTCCCAGTCCTTGATAACTTAACCGAAATGGTGGGCACTGCAAAAAGAACAATGTTTCAAGTTCTGAAAGTCTGGTTTTTTTTGTGGATAGCTGCATTAGTGTGATCATCTAGAAAGTTTTTATTTTCACTGATATGAAAGCTTTGAAAGCTAGGATAGTGACAAATTGAAAATTTTCAGCCAATTTGTCCCGGATCAAATTTTTCGGAAAACCAGACGTAATGCATTAACACAACTTAAGAGGTGAATTTAAAAAGAGCATACAACTTCTATGATAGTTGGGGAAGATTCAAGCAAAGTAATAAGGATGATCAAAGATTCTTAACAAAAATATTTGGTAATTATAGAAATGAGAAAGAAATATTAAGGGGTCACAAAACTGAATAATAAAACAATACAAAATGATACTCAGAAAATTTTTCATATGAACAAAAAGTTGGCGCAAATTTAAATTTATAATAAGAGTTTCTACCAGGACTATACCAGTGCATTTTCTATCATTCAATACAACCCAAAAGATAAGTCAGACATTAAGGTGTCAAAAAATTACTAGAGATCTGAGATTCAGTTCTCCAAAAGTAATTTTGTTGGCTTACTGTGTAATTAGATAACATGAGCATAAATTTAAAGATATTCAATTCCACCAAACACCCGAATAAATTTGTTTACCTGATATATATAACCACAAATAATTGCAGAAGTCAGCAATAATATAGAGGGCGTGTTTCCTACGTCTAGAGATGTCCATGTCAACCCGATGAAGCCAAGGACAAGAAGTGAGTACGCAGCGAGAAGGGTCCATACACGGCTTTCCAATAAATTAAAGATCACAAATTGCCAAATGTTATTCATTTTAATAAAAACTTAAGGGAAAAAATTCTTATGCACCCCATAACCACAATGTTTTAAAAGCTTTACCTTCCAACCAAATTCACAACTGATTCTTTCTTATTCTTATCCGCTCCTGTATCGAAATCATAAACATCATTGCTGCCAACGGTTCACATATCACCAATTTTAATGGCTTATAGAAAAATAGTGAAACAGTTCTGTCATAAAGACAAGGACAACAATTTTGGTAAAGCTGTAATAATAAATATAGGATGAACCGAGAAGAAGTCCCCTCCCAGATCTTCAGGTTGTAATGCAATAATTTAATTAAAATAAAAAATATTTAGAATTTTGGATTTTCTTGAAGAAGGATTAAGATGAAACAAATGAAAGAAAATGAGGAAAATATGACAAGGTGCTAACAACAAATGTGTGGCCGTGTCAATATCCTCAATGCAAGCATTTCTTGGCTTATTACATCCTCCCACCAAGTTCCCAAACAAAACATTCAAAATATTATGAGTTGAGGTCCCACAGGATTTAGCAATCTCTTGGAATACAGTTATGTCACCAAGGTCTTAGGAAGAGCTATGTAGTCCAATGCGAATGTTAGAGGAATCAAACTGCTAACTAATGGATGGTTGTTCATACAAGCAACCACAATTGGATCCCCACCTAAGAGCCAGAACAGGCCCGACAACAGTTGATTTGAAAGATGAAAATAACACCGTATGATCCCTACATACCTCCAATACTCCATGCTTGTTAGTGTGCCCTCTCAATCTAAATAGTAATCAGTGCAAGACATACTGCACATTCCTAGGTCTACCAGCATAAATCTCTATTTTATTGACACAAATGAAATATCAACACGCAGCTACTGCACATGCATTAACAGTTCTCAATCTCAGATGCACGGTAAAACATGCTCAGATTCAAACTATCATGTATCTACGTTGAAATTTTTAGAAAACTCACCTTAAATTGAGCCAAGTTATGATAAGAACAGAAGAAACCAAGAGAACAAAATAACGCCTGGCTGAAAGTATGCCTGTCTGTAAATAAGCAGCTGCAGCGCCTACCTGTTCAAGAAAAAATTAAGGAACCATAATTATTTTTCTTTTGGGTGGAATCACCCGGATGAGACAGTATAAGACCATTACAAAATTTTGACTAGATAGAAGAGTAAATGAAAGTTTCCTTGAGTTTGCTTCTAGTCATGCTCAAAAGAAAGCGGTATCAAATTTGGAGTTACACAAACAGATCTTTTGAAGGGAATCTACCCATACACCAGTGATTTATCAAACGAACACATTGATAGCCCACCATATCCGTTAAACTATTCTTCAAAACACAGAAGAACCAAATACTTCATACCATATGTCCTCAAGCAGTGCACTTAATAATTACAGAAATAGCCTATTGTTTAAAACAAGAGTCAAGTTAAATGTCACCAAAATATTCCAAAATCCAATTCTTTCTCAAATAATAATAAAAGAACAGTTTCAGTGACTACTTTTACAAAGAGTATTTGGTTTGACAAGGTTGGATTCAAATACGTACATATATATATCCTTGGATTATAATTACCTAAACTCTGCAGAGGTGGTGTCCATATTTCATAATCAATGCAGACTACATTTGAAAATGATATTTGTTTTTCAAGTCTTCAAGATGCTAGAAATTGCTGGTGAGAAAAAAGAGATGCATTTCTTCAAGATGCCAGGGTATTGCTTGTGAGAAAAAGGAGATGTGGTGGCACTATTTCCTAATTCACATCGAAGTAAGCATGCAGTTCAGAGTAGAAAAGAGGGCAAGAAGCATAGTAATATGAAAGTTGCAACTTTTATAAGCAAGTAGCATGCTTGCTTGTCAAAAACACATTCCATATTCATCTGGAAAATGCTTTTTAAAATTTGAATTATTAAAAATAATCTTTAAAAAGGAAAAGCGAGTTATCAAATCTCCGTCTTCAAGAACTCAAAAAAACTCCTCACATATTACAGTTTAAAAGGAATAAGTACGGACTATATTTCCTTTCAAGATTGACAAGAAGATATCTAGATGAACCCTTTATTTGTAAGAAACCCATATTATTCTAATATTAATCTGAACAAAGTTATTTTCATCACCTGATTTACAGCCTTATGTTCACTTCATACATCAGTTTAAGAATCTCATATCAGGCAAAAACTACGTTGATGTCCCCTTTACCAGCCAAGATTCTTGACTTACTATTTTCCCTAACCAAAGAAATTTTGGGTACCTACAGGACTAGATGTGTTCTACATGTCACTCTATTGTTGCACTTGCGCAGCAAATACAATTTACTGTAGATGCAGGCAACTTGGTCTTTATATTAACTTTAATTGATTAATGGTTTCCTTTCTTACGTACAGCAGAGCCATCATTGATTTACTTGGTAACATTCTGAAATATTGTGATGTCCAACTCAGGCTCTTAAGCAATATAAAAGCAAAAAGTAAGTAGAGAGCACTTAAAAGTGTTGAAAAACTCACTGTGAGTGGAACCAAGGCAACAGAATAAATAGGCAACTTAATCGCCCTCCATATCAAGGTTGCTCTTGAAACATCCTCTTCTCTTTCCTCACTGTAGATATTGTCAGAGTAATCTGCTTGATTCTGGGAATGATATTGTAGATGATGTCGCTGTTGCTTGAATTTTAATTGTGTTCTATAAGTCTTTTGGAAAAACTTTTGAGCATTAAAACAAGACAGTGAAGATTGTTTAGAAGAAAGTCCAGGATGCCTGCAAAATAAATAATTCAAATGAATGAAGAAACACGGACAACAAAAACCCTCTGTCTCTCCACAGCCAAAGACACAATCCCAGTATGCCCAGAATAAGAATTTTCAAATTTCAAAAACTCTAGAAAGCAAAAGCCTGTGTAGTAAATGAACATCATCATATCAAACGTATTTAACAATTGGCATTATCAAGATCCAAACGAATGGGATGGTTTAAAACAAGCTTATTTTAAAAAAATCTAAAAGAACTTTGGGAAACAGTTCTTTATCCTACTACAAATTTTTTACGGTTGCAGTTCCCTAAAAACTGAACTGAAACTCTAGCTAATAGCTATAGCACTAATATTCAAGAAAAATGCCGCCAAACTTTTGCATAATTATCACAAACCCAATTTTAGTAATAACATTAACTTTCCCTACTAATAAACCATTTTAATGATATAATGACATTATCAGGAAGGTTTTTCGGGATTAGTTTGCCTACAAAGAAACATGCTACAATTTTTATAGCACAAACTTTCTTTCAGTCTGGACAGATGAGAGCTAGGATCACAAAGGAACAACTACACACATCTTCTATTATCTCAAATGCATAGATATTTTCACACGCATTTGATTTCTCACATCATTTCCCCTGGTTCCCCATACTACAGTCTATCGTTCTTCAGCATGGAATTTAACAATTTTTTTTTCAATGAATTCTGTATCTCTTGTCATGCTATCCATATCCAACTGAAATTCGAATTAAAAAAAAAAAAAAAATTTCTATTTGAACACTAATGTCATATTTGTACAATAACCTATCAGTCACTTTGGAAATTCCAACTAACTTTCTTATATTTTAAACAATTCGTCGCAATCAAATGCAGATAATTCAATTATCTAATAAGAAAGAACAAGTACATACTACATTTTCTATAATTGCAAGAAACAAACGAAACTCGCCTTTCAATGTAACTCGTGTTCATGAAGAAGTGACGGAGATTGTTGAGAGCAGGCCCATGGTCAAAGTGAGAGAAGGAAGTTGCCATTGGAAGCAACATATTTCAATGTTATCTACAAAACAACCCACAAAATGAAGGAAATGAAACTGCAGAAGAAAGAGAATAACAAATTACAAAGGAAATAGGAAGCAGAAGCTGACCTTGAAGGAAGATTGAAGTTGCTCCCATAGAAGGACTAGTGTAACAAAGAAGAGATAAGAGAGAGAGGCAAAGGGAAGTGTTAACAGTTTGTTATTTGTCTAAAGGGCGACTGTAATCAGCAGACAGAATCTCCACTAATCCTATCCAAATCTATTTGCAACTTTACTAAAATAACCTCCTATTAACCAATGTCAAATTGTCAACAATTTGAAAATTATCAAAAAGTTTTAAATGTAAGAGTTATCATAAATTAGGATACAAAATTTTTTAGATATAAATTATAATTCATTCACTTAAAGCACAATAAATAATTACTTAGGGTTAGATTTAATTTTATGTAAGTGACATAATTGAACAAATTTAAATTGACCTTTATCTAGCTAAGCATGGCCAAATCAAGACCACAACAAATGCAACAACTTGGGGTGGCCATGAACCGATCACACTTGGCCAAATTAAAAGGCTCGATCTAGCCTAATGTGGCCAAAACCTAGAGTGACTTCGATCAAGACATGTCGAGCTAGATTAAAACAACAAGATCGACCCATTAACAAATTTCTTTTAATTTTTTTTTATTTCCTTCAAAACAAAATTTATTTTTGATCTTATTTTAGTATTAAAAAATTAAAAAAATTTAAGAACTAAACTCATAAAAAAATCAAGGTTATTTAAGTTATTTTATCATTTTTGTTAAAGTTAACGGCAAATTATGGTTAAGTGTCTCTTAATTGTACAATATGCAATTACAAAATAATTAGTTAAAGTAGGCATTAGGCAATTTAAGTGAACTTGATCTTACTCATCTCTAATCTATCATTATGTTTTGAGAAACGTGATACTAAAAGAGTAGTTTTTGTATTAATCTTTATCTAGATAAAATAAGACTTGATGAGACCATAAATTAGATAATTGGCTCCGTTTGATATACTTTTTTTAATAATATTTTGAATAGGATAGGATATAATTTAATCATAAGATAGGATAATGAGAATATGTTTGGTATATTTTTGGAAAACATTTTATGAAAATATTTAGATTATTTTTAACCCCTTATATTTGTTAATTTAGATAAACAAATCCCATCCAATAATAAAAGTTTATAAATTAACAAAAACATTCCTACGCACCTAACTGATTGCCGGCAGCTAGCAACCATCGTCGGATGGTAGCTGGAAGTCATCGGAATGATTCACGACCAAGTAGATTTGGTCGATTGTGTGCCAATCTAGCTGTTGACGACTAGATTTACGACTAAAGATTTGGCCGTTGACGACAACCATATCTTAGCCATTGTTTGGTCGTCAATGACGTCCAAGATATGGCCGTCGTCAACGGTCAAATATTTGGTCATAGATCTAGCCAGAAATAGCCAAATTAACGTACACCCAGCCAGATCCAGCCGATCGTATGTCGTTCTAGCAGCGAAGACAATTTTTGGTGAGCAACTGTTGCTTGGATGGGTGGAGGTGTTTTTGTTAATTTATAAACTTTTATTGAGAAATGTAATTATTAAATGTTTTGAGTTAAATAGAATAGAAATGGATTTTGGACAATATTAAAACAAACACGTTTTTTATTTTTTAGGATAGGATAATAAAATAGAATATGATTGGAAAAGTTAAACAAACAGGGGGAATACTCTTCATTATTGTTTTGATTTCATCCTAATAAAAGCAACAAACAAACATGTTTTTTATTTTTTAGGATAGGATAATAGAATAGAATATGATTGGAAAAGTTAAACAAATAGGGGGAATACTCTTCATTATTGTTTTGATTTCAACCTAATAAAAGCAACATCAGTAGTACGTATTTAAATAACAACGATGGTCAACCCTTGTGAGCATTAACTAAACGCTACTACATATTTGGCCTATTAACAAGATACATAATGGTATGTTGAAACTTGTTCGAACATGAATAACACCTTTTAGTATTTAATGGGTAATTTTATGTGAAGTAATTCATCCAGTTCATACGTGAAACACTTTTTATTATAATTTTGTCATATTTTATCATTTCATAAATATAAATCCAGAGATATATAGATATATCCATTTCATGTCAAAATATATATTTTATTTTGATTTTGTTATGCCAAAAAAATCAGGGCTGACGTTAGCCTATGTCAGTAAGTACCAATTAGAGTTCAGGAAGACTTTGTGCTGCCTAGGAGTTACCACGTCGCTCCATGACAAAAAGAATATGGTTATCATCAACTTGGTAGATTCAGGTTGTGTCTATAAGTGATTGAGGGCCGCACACCTGTCTAAGCCCCAGGTAATTTGAGGATATTTTCTAAGTTATCAGCTAATCGGAGGCAAGGAAGGACTTGCACGACACTTACCTACTTGCAGATTTGTGCTCATTACCTTGAATTTCTTTACTATAAATATAGGATTCCCCTTCTTATTTTCGGGATTCTGATACTGAACCTGCAATCTAATTGTAATCACTATTTTCAGAGCAAAGATAACCTACGAGAAAGAGATCGACTTGATATCCTCTCTAAATACTTAGTTGTTGTATCTCTGCTCACTGTTTGTTATATGCGACCTCTTGTAATCTCTCATATATAAAAGAAATAGTGGACGTAGATTCGTTTTAGGCATCCGAACTACTTTAAAAACCATATATCTCATTTATTATTCAGCCTTTGTATCTGATCATAATCATTCACGTATAATTTCTAAAAACAGTTTATCACTTTACATGTGTGAGTCGTTGGTGTCAAAATCGAGCATCAACAGTTGGCGCTAGAAGGAGGGCTAATTTCATATTCACTCTTCATTTATAACATTTGATCAATTAGTTCTACTTGTGAACAAATGACTCGTGGTTTTGAAACCGAGCGAACTAGCACCAACAACGAGGAAATCCCTCGTGAAACAGGTAGAATACTTGTAGCTTTGCGACTTGGTGGTATGTCACATCATGAGTTGTCTCACGCCACATCGCATGGGTGGGGTGCGTGGCATGGAGATTCCTACTATCGGTGGAATGATGGTTCCGACCATCACCATAAGGGAAATACCCACCAGACGTGGGTCAGTTTTGACCACCTTCGAGGTTGGGATAACTCCCCTAGCCATTCAGTGCCTTTACATGGCTCCAGCCAGCATGTGTCAAGGTATGCCGAAGGCTCCGACAAAGGGGAGGAAGAGTTTGATCTACGGTCTTTCCTCAATCAGAATTATGGGGAGCGAACCCACATTGTGGAAAGTGATCCTCAAGTGGCTTTGCTTCCTCAGATTGAGGAGTTACAACGAGCTTTGGATCAACTCAAAGTTCATCAGGATGAGTGAGGGCAAGTTGTTGAGGCGTCTCCCTTTTCTCCAGCAATCTTGATTGTTCCTCTCCCGTCGGGATTTAGAATGCCCGACATGCGATCATTCAATAGGAATTCTGATCCGCAAGATCATCTCTATGAGTTTAACGACCTCATGGAGTTTAACCAAGTTTCCAACTTAGCGAATTGTCGCTGCTTAGCAGTGACCCTGACTGCCCATGCTAAGCACTGGTTTAGATCGCGTCCGTCAGGATCTATCAACTCATGGCAGTAGGTGAGTTTGCTATTTTTGAGACACTTCCAGGCTAATAGGAAGTTCTCAAGGCCGTTGAGCTATTTGAGCAACATACGGCAAGAGTGGAATGAGTCCCTCCAATCTTTATCGACAGGTTCTATAGGGAGCTTCATAAGGTGGCTAATACACTCAAAGATTCAGTTTAAACTCTTATTATTACGGGAGTCTGCCCGCAAACTGACCTATGGAAGAAACTGCAATCTGAGGATGATATTTTCCTCACCCGTTTTTACAATCTCACTGAGAAATATCTCAGAATTGAAAATTCATTGGCTGCCTTGAATTGCCATGACCCCGGTCCTTCGACTAGCACTCCCAATCGGAGGGAGGAAAACCAGGGAGAGAGTAGTAGAAGGCCTGATCATAAGTGGGCTAATGACGATCAAAGAAAGGGAAAGAAACAGTGGTTTGAGCCCAATAAATCTTATACCCAAGTTCCTCATTGCGATTGCGATAAGAATTAGTACACTCCATTGAATGCATTGGTATCAGCTATCTTGGATAAATCAGAAGAAGCTAATATGCTCGAAGAGCTAGAGCCCATGAAAAATCCCTCTTTAATAAAAAAACAACAAAAAATATTGCCATTACCATTGGGACAATGGGCACCATACCGATGAATGCCAAGCTCTTAGGCAGGCTATTGAAGACGTCATTAAAAATGGGCACTTTAAGGAGTATGTTAATAGTCCAGCTCTTGTTTGGGAAAAGGATCAAGAGGAAGATGGGAAGAAGCACCACAGTCGCAAGGGCCTCCATCTCGTCTGAATTATATTTGGAAGGTCGCACCTCGCGGGGAATTCTCGAGTTGCTTAGGAGAAGTATGCTTGGGAAGCTCGTCATGACCTTGTGAGTGTGTTAAACACGGTACAACGACCTGCTAAGGTGTGCAAATAGGAGGAAATTACATTCTCAAAGGAAGACGTGGTACTATTGTATCATCCTCATGAGGATGCACTCGTTGTCACGGCTGAAATAGGTCGATGCGAAGTCCACAAATGTTAGTGGATTATGGGAGCGCTGTAAACATTTTATTTCAGCGAGCATTCGAGGAAATTCAATTGGAAGAGGAAGATCTGAAGCTTGCCTCTATCCCTTTCTATGGCTTTACAAGGGATCATCTGACTCCCAAGGGAAAGATTGCACTTCCTGTCACTTTGGGTGAGACCCACGAAGTGACCAAGAAGATAGAATTTCTAGTGGTAAACTGTCCATCTGTTTTCAATGGCATATTGGGACAACCTCTGCTCAGGAACTGTTAGAGTAGATGTCCTAGAGCCAATCAATTATTGTAGAATTGACTCTTTGTAATAATGTTCATTAATCAATAATAAAAGGTATTTTATTCTATATCGCGTAAATCATTATTATTGCAATATGTATTAATATATGTCCTTAGAATGGTAGAACCGTGACAAGGGTATCAAGTGTTTCAAATCTTGATAGTGAGAACCCTATGAGCAAATATGGTGGCCATTCTAGAAAAGTACGTAGCCAAAGTATTATTCTGAAGTAAGGACACAAATAATACGAAAAAAATATC